TGGGTTCTTGCTGTCGAGTAATGTTGATTTGTCCTCGCATGGTCACAAGGTGACTGCCATATTTTGAACAACGTATGCAGATATAACATTTGGCTAAAGAGGAGCACTTCCTCTTAGTGTGTGAGTTTTATTGTGTAGAAAATCATTTCTGAAAAGACCTTCAATAGACTTCTTAGTCCCAGTGACATGTGCCACGTTTGGGTTGAGGCAGTGGAGCCAAGGCACTAATCCTGGCCTGCCTACCTCTAGGCTTCTGGTTTTACAAGAAGAATTGTAACCATTTTGGCTAACACATTATAGTGGGATTTCTCATATACCTAGCAAAATAGTCCCAGGCAGAGCCTTTACCCACAAGGCTGGCTACTCTCCATTTGTCCCCATTCCCACCTCAAATCCATCTCCATCTTTCTCGGTCCTGCTCTGCTCAGGGACTGGCCTATGGACTGCATCACACAGGTTCTCTTGCCCTCTTGCATCCTGTTGGCCTCAGCCAACAAGAGGTAAAAGCAGGGGAGGAGAAGTTGGAAGGATAAGATCAGGGTATTTCTGCCCTCATTTCCTGTTTGCTTAGAATTACGGTCCTGGCAGGGCGCAAACTCTAGAACCAGAACTCCTATCTGGCTGCTCCTTCTGATGGCTTCAGTCTACATGGGGCTCTGATAACACTGCTTTTTCCTTTGGATCTTTTTTTTATTCTTTTTTTTTTTTGAGACAGAGTCTCATTCTGTCTCCCAGGCTGGAGTGCAGTGGCGCGATCTCGGCTCACTGCAACCTCCACCTCCCTGGTTCAAGTGATTCTCCTGCCTCAGCCTCCCCAGGAGCTAGGATTACAGGCACATGCCACCATGCTTGGCTAATTTTTTGTATTTTTAGTAGAGATAAGGTTTCACCATGTTGACCGGGCTGGTCTTGAACTCCTGGCCTCAAGTGATCCACTCACCTTGGTCTCCCAAAGTGCTGGGATTACAGGTGTGAGCCACTGCGCCCGGCTTCCTTCGGACCCTTTAGGCCTTGGGGTAGTAATATCTTCCCATGGTTGCTCATCCTGGGCACCTGGATTTGTTTCCTATGGCTGCTGTAACAAATTATCCCAAACTTTGTCTCCAAATTCATCTATTTTTAATCCTTCGGTTGCTGATGCTTTTGGTGTCATATCTAAAAAAACCATCACCTAACCCAAGGCCACAGTGATTTACAGCTATGCATTCTTCTAAGAGTTGTACATTATTTGCTTACATTTGGGTCCATCTATTTGTGTTAATTTTTATATATGGTGTGAAGGAAGGGTCTAGCTTCACTCCTTTGCATACACATATCCAATTGTCCCACTACTATCTGTTCTTTCCCTATTGAATTGTCTTGGCACCTTGGTTGAAAATCAGTTAACCATAAATGAATAGGTTTATGTTTGGACTTTCAATTCCATTCCTTCGATCTATATGTTTATCCTCAATACAATACCACACAGTCTCGATTATATAGCTTTGTATTGTCTTGAAACTGAGAAATCTGAGTCCTGCCAAATTTTTCCATGTTTTTCAAGATTGTTTTGGTTATTCTGGGTCCCTTGCATTTCCATATATATACATATATTTTGAGACGGAGTCTCGCACTGTCTCCCAGGCTATAGTGCAGTGGCGCAATCTAGGCTCACTGCAATCTCCGCTTCCTGGATTTAAGCAATTCTCTTGCCTCAGCCTCCTGAGTAGCTGGGACTACAGGTGTGTGCCACCATGCCCAGCTAATTTTTTTTTGTATTTTTAGTAGAGACGGGCTTTCAGCATGTTGGCCAGGATAGTCTCGATCTCCTGACCTCATGACCCACCCTCCTCGGTCTCCCAAAGTGCTGGGATTACAGGCGTGAGCCAACCACTCCTGGCCTTCATATAATTTTGGTTTTTAAGACAAGGTCTTACTCTGTCACCCATGCTGGAGTGCAGTGGCATGAGCATAGCTCACTGCAGCATCATACCTCTAGGCTCAAGCGATCATCTTGTTTCTACCTCCGGAGTCAGGACTATAGGTGTGCACCGTGCCTAGCTAATTTTATTTTTTATTTTTTGCAGAGACAGGGTCTTGCTTTGTTGCCCAGGTTGGTCTCAAAGTCCTGGCTTCTAGTGATCTACCTGCCTTGGCCTCCCAAAGTGCAGGGATTACAGGTATGAGCCATCACACCTGGCTTCCCATGTGAATTTTAGAATCAGTTTCATGACTGTCTTCTGGTGTTACCTGGAAGGCAAAGACAAGTACCTGAATCAGCTATGCCCTGCTGCGCTTTGTAGGGTGTCTAGCCTATGAGTATACCTTAAATACTCTTGAATTGAATGCCTTATTTCAGGTTTTTTTTTTTTTTTTTTGAGATGGGATTTGGCTCTTGTTGCCCAGGCTGGAGTGCGGTGGCACAATTTCGGCTCACTGCAACCTCTGCCTCCTGGATTCAAGTGATTCTCCTGCCTCAGCCTCCTGAGTAGCAGGGATTACAGGCGCCTGCCACCATGCCTAGCTAATTTGTAGTATTTTTAAGAGAGGGCCGGGCGCGGTGGCTCAAGCCTGTAATCCCAGCACTTTGGGAGGCCGAGGCGGGTGGATCACGAGGTCAAGAGATCGAGACCATCCTGGTCAACATGGTGAAACCCCGTTTCTACTAAAAATACGAAAAACATTAGCTGGGCATGGTGGCGCGTGCCTGTAATCCCAGCTACTCAGGAGGCTGAGGCAGGAGAATTGCCTGAACCCAGGAGGCAGAGGTTGCAGTGAGCTGAGATGGTGCCATTGCACTCCAGCCTGGGTAGTAAGAGTGAAACTCCATCTCAAAAAAAAAAAAAAAAAAAAAAAAAAAGAGAGAGAGATGGGGTTTCATCATGTTGGCCAGGCTGATCTTGAACACCTGACCTCGGGTGATCCACTCACCTCGGCCTCCCAAAGAGCAGGGATTACAGGCATGAGCCAACATGCCCGGCCTATTTCAGGTATTTTTTTGTGTGGAGCTTGGAATGAACTTTCACCTAGAAGAATGCTAAGTTTCCATTACAGAACACTGAGCTACAAGCAACAACTACAAAACAACTGTGGTTTTAACCATGGTTTACGACTTACTTTTCAGGGAGTCTGGAGGTATGTGGTTGATTCAGCAATTCAACCATGTCCATCTTTGCTCTCCACTGTCCCCAGCACTCTGGTCTTTCCTCATGCTTGTCACCTTATGAGAACCAGATGCTGCCAATATGGCAGCCCCACATTCTTATACCAGCCATCTCAAAGGGGCAGAAGGGTCAAGGGTTTTCTTTTCTGGAGGCTTTGTGTTCTATCCAGTTGGGAAGCCCTCTCACATCTTACACACCCAGAGTGCATCACATGACCCTAGACCAGTCACTGGGGAAGGGGAATGAGATTACTGGGACCTGGTTAGAGCAATCACGTTTCATCTAAGGAAGCAGGCACACACATGTGTCCCTCCTGAAATACAGATAACCAGGGATGGGTGAGATAGTAGCTGTTGGACAGCAATGAACACTGCCTAACTCAAGTTTAGTAGACATGGTGAACAAAATGGTCTATTTGTAGGTTGTGTGGTAACCCAGCTTGTAATATTGTTCCTTCGAGAAAACATGCTCTTAGCACCAAAGAGAACTTTTGAGAAACAATACTCGAATACAATCCAAAATACATGGAATGAAATTCATACATTTATCTTTCAAAGTATACTGAATATAATTCCATTTTTCTTGGGCCCTTCAGGAGGTATTCTTAGAATCTTCTAGTTTGAGAATCAGGCCATACCTGCTCACGCCTGCAATCCCAGCACACAGGGAGGCCAACGTGGGCAGATCACTTGAAGTGAGGTTGGGGCTTTGCAATGAGCTGAGATTGTGCTACTGCACTCCAGCCGGGCAAGGGAATGAGGCCTTGTCTCAAAAACAAACAAACAAACAAAAACAAACAAAAAAAAAGAATCAAATGTGAACATAGACTGTCATTGAGACCAACCCAACAGTCCTATAGACAGTTTATTTATTTATTTTTTTCAGATAAACTTAGAAATTATCTTTTCTAGTCTTAAAGTTGAAACTTTCATTTGTTTAATCTGAGTTCCTTCCTCAGGAAAGGATCCCTCAGGCCTCTCAAAGTATCAAAAAACTGAAACTCACCAGGTGACTGCATCCAATGGACACCAGGCCCTCTCATAAGTCCCCACACTTCCTTCCCTCTCCTGACTTCCTGTTTTTCCACACATTGTTACATTGCTTCCCTGCAACTGTAGAAACTCCTGATTTTAGTTGGGCAGGGCAATGGATCTGAGACTGAGCTCTCATCTCCCTGAGTGCGGCACCCGGCTAAAGCCTTGTTCCTTAGTAATAATGGTTGTCTTCGTGACTGGCTTTCTGTGAGTGGGGTAGCAGGGCCTAGACCAAAACCCTGGTGTTCTGGTGACATTGTGTTGTAGATATTTAGAAGGATGGTTAACAGAGTTTACCTGTTAATTTGTTCTGCCATACTTACAAAAAGTGGTATTGCCAGCTGCACATAAACATTTGATTCATCCAGCTGGCCCTCAATCCCAGCCATGATGGCACAGGGAAACTAAAGTCACAGGTGAGCAGCAGAGAACTTCTGGTCTCCACGTTCCGCGTTCATCCTGCTCCACCGCAGGAACCTCGCTCAACACATACGCACTTCGGTGCCCATGCTGGTGCCAGGCTGTGGCTGTGTCCTGGGCAGGCGAAGGAACCCAGGGAAGATGCAGGTCCAGTGGGGTGGGAAAGGGGGCCAGAAAACCAAGATTCTCACGGCCCTGCAGTGTGGAGTAAGGGGGAGCTCATTGCACCTCTGTCAAGGGAACAAAGGATCCCCTCCAGGCCCCTCGCGTGCACCCGGCGGTTCCGGCAGGCGCCTTGGAAACCCGGCCGGGCCCGTAGCCGGCCTCCCGCCACAGGCGTCGCTGTGTGCTCGCGCGGGGCCTGGAGCCGCGTTCCGCTGGGAGCGGGCGCTCGCGCAGAGCAGGGGTTTCAGTTTCTGGCGCGAACTTCCGCCGTTCCGAAGCTGCACCGCGAATTGGCGCGATGTCTGGGGACAGCAGCGGCCGCGGGCCCGAGGGCCGGGGCCGGGGCCGGGGCCGCGAGCCGCACCGGGATCGCACCCGCTCCCGGTCGCGGTCCCCGCTGTCGCCCGGGGCCCGCCGCGGCGCCGCGCCGGAGCGCAGGGAGGCCCCAGAACGCCCGAGCCTGGAGGACACAGAGCCGTCGGATTCCGATGACGAGATGATAGACCCGGCCAGCTTGGAGGAGGAGGCCGACCAAGGCCTGTGCCGCCAGATCCGCCATCAGTACCGGGCGCTCATCAACTCCGTTCAACGTAAGGCGGCGCCTCCGTGCGGTGCGGGCAGGGCCGCGGTTCCCGCCCTGCGCCGGGCGCGGTGGGGAGGGCGCAGGAGGCAGGTGCCGGGTGCAGGCCCGGGGCAGCGCGGGTCGAGACGCGCCGGGAGCAAGCCCCTCGTCGCATTCCGCACCTTAATTTGTTGACAAGAGTGCTCCCACAGTTCTATGGCTGGAGCTGCGCAACCTTGGCGGGGGGCGCGTGGGTTGCGGAGTAACAGGCTGCGAAGGCTGGAAGCCAGAGCCCAGCCAGCTGGGTGGGGACAGGCAGGACGCGGACTCTGCGTGCTTTGATTGCTCCCGGCGGTCCTCTGCATGGGCTCCCGCCCCCGCAGCGGTAGCGGCGGGAGAGAGCTGTCAAATGCACGTTCTTGGACCCCACCCGGACCCAGGGAATCCGATTCTCTAGGTGGACCCGCCCAGCTGTGCAGGGGTCCTCAAGATGATGGTGTTGTTTGCAAAGCTTGAGAACCACTCGGTTATGGAGCACTCAGAGGCTGCAGCCGGAGTCCAGCCCTTTGGGTTAAGCTTTGAGGGAGGCAGGGTTTCCTTTAAAAATTCATGCTGCATGAAGGGTAGAGTCGCCTTTCTCGTTTTTCGAGCTATTTTGATTATAATTACTCAGGGCGCAGGGGCCACGGCTTGGCTTTGCTATTGTAGGTGATAACTTTGTCAACTGCTTATTAGTGAATACTGAGCAAGTTTCCCAAAGTTTGTATTTTTTAAAATAGAAAACCGGGAGGACATACTAAATGCCGGTGACAAATTAACAGAGGTCCTTGAAGAGGCCAACACCCTGTTTAATGAAGGTAATTTGTTATTTTATATATGATATTGTGTTTTATGATACTTTTAGTGTTACATAAGCACCAAATGATTGACATCAAACAATTCCCACATTTATAATAGTGCTTTCCCAGTTTGGGAACCGTTTCATTATAGCAATAATGTCATTTTTATTATGCACTTACCATATAATGAGGGCTTTCCAATGAATTCTGGGGGTGGGTTCCGCAGTCTGTCTTAAGCTCCCAGGCGATTCTGTTGTCTGTTCAAGTTTCAGAACTTTACACGTTTTACCTTTTTTCTTTTTCTTGTGTTTACTGCTGTATCCCTAGTACACATTGGTTGAGTGGATGAATTAAAGAACTGAGCTCGCCTCTGACATCCTGTTTCTTTCCTGTCCGATTCTCAGTCTTGCTTTCCTCAACTCCTTGCTGTTGGTCCACGTGTAACCCAGTGGAGGTGGCAAGGCCTGCAAGTGGGCCTGCTGGTCTCCAGTCTGGGGTGCGTGCGTGTGTGCGTGTAGAGAGAGCTATCCCAGGTGCGTGCGTGCGTGTGTGTGTGTGAGAGAGAGATAGACAGAGAGACAGAGAGAGATCCCAAAGCACTGAACTCTAGGCCATGGGTGCTTTAAAAAAATAACCTTCATTTGAATTGAAAGCAGCGGCAGTGGTATTGGTAGCAGCCGTCTGCCTGCCCGGTGATAGAGGGGTACTCCCTGATGAGAATACTTGATCACAGAGCCATAGGACTACTCCCCAGACCACTGTCCCCTCCAGGCCTCTCTGACAGGTTTGTGCAAACACAAGGGGAGAATGCAGCCATTACGTTGTTTTTTTCTTTGATATTTGTGATGGAGTCTCGCTCTGTCTCCCAGGCTAGAGTGCAGAGCGCCATCTCGACTCACTGCAACCTCCACCTCTCAGGTACAAGCGATTCTCCTACCTCAGCCTCCCAAGTAGCAGGGATTATAGGTGCGCGCCACCACATCCAGCTAATTTTTGTATTTTTAGTAAAGACAGGGTTTTGCCATGTAGGCCAGTCTGGTCTTGAAATCCTGACTTCAGGTGATCCACCTGCTTCGGCCTCCCACAGTGCTGGGATTACAGGCATGAGCCACAGCGCCTCACCGGTTCTTCATATTCTTAAAGGACTAACTAGAATGTTTATTTTTAGTCATTGCTGAGTATGACTAGTGCTTTAAATGTTGTCTCCTTTTATCACTTTATATATGCTCTTCAATTTCTGCCTTTCTTTGACCGCAGCCTCCTTACCATTCCCCATCTTCGTCTACGGATTTGCTAAGCATCATCAAAGCCTTCAGGAACCAGGTCTTTCTCCTTCACCTGGTTAACTCCCTCTCCTGCCCTCTTAAGTTTGTCTTCCTTTCACAGCCTGGACTCCCAGTCTCCTCACTGTTAGTCTTGACTTGGCTCAATTACTCCCTTGATATTTACTGTGCCTCTGGTCACTTCTTTATCCCTACATCATTTCACCCTCAGCTTTTCCACTATTTAAAGCAATATTTTAGGGCAAAATTATTCACTCAGTGGGGCCCTAGGAGTTGCTCAGCGAACAATAGATGCTTGACATTCATGGATTTGATGGTCTGAGTTTGTAAAACGAATAAATAAGTCACTAGATGAAAGGAGAAGGGAATGGGGCAGAGGTAGGCACAGGATGTTCATGGGAGATGAAGGAAGGGGTCAACAAAAGGAAACAATGGGGCTGAGGGGGCTAGCTTAATCAGACCCTGCCAGCAACAGGGAGCATGTAAAGTAGTCTGGGAACACCTACAAAGAAGAATCCTAAAGGAAGCCTCAGAGGAGGGTCACTCTGTCACCCAGGCTGGAGTGCAGTGGCATGATCTTGGTTCACTGCAACCTCCACCTCCCAGGTTAAGTGATTCTCCATCTTCAGCCTCCCAATAGCTGTGATTACATGCATGTACCACCATGCCCAGCTAATTTTTGTATTTTTAGTAGAGACGGGGTTTTACCATGTTGGCCACGCCAGTCTCAAATTTCTGAGCTCAAAGTAATGTGCCTGCCTCGGTCTCCCAAAGTGCAGGGATTACAGGCATGAGCTGCTGTGCCCCGCCTGTTTCTCCTTTCATTTAAATCTTTTTCCATAGCTTATCTTAAATCCCATGTTCTCTCTCAAGCCTTTTTTGAGCACCCATTCTCAGAGGTCACTGTCTGCTGCCTGTAGACTGTTCATTTGGGTGGCTTTGCTGGGTTGCCTCTGAAGCCATACAGAGGCATGAGCCTCCTTGTGCCAGCCCGGCACATGCCATGATTTTGGTTGAGGCTCCTTAGCAACTTACCTATTGCTATTCACAAACCACCACGCCAAGCACAGGGCCTGGCATGGAGTGGGCATTTCATTTTCCTTACATCGGCACACACGATAATTGTGACTAGGATGGGTTATTGAGATGGGGAAAAGTGACGTGAAAGGAGTTTTGCTCAACTGGGGTTATTTAAGAGATTGTGATTCAGCTAACAGCAGTAGGGGAACTAGAGAGAAAGCTGGCTTTTAGGAAGACGGATCAGCTTTGTGAGAGATTTTGGTGAGTTGGGCAGGGAACAGGTTTTAGAAGGAGATGGGTCATTTGCCTATTGAGTTTTTTTTTTTTTTTTTTTGGTCCAGTGGGAAATCCTGGTAAGTAGTTGGAAATGTAGGGAAAATATCTGTGGATAATGTATATTTTGTAATGTGAATATTTTCTTTCTTTTTTGAATAGTGTCCCGAGCAAGAGAAGCGGTCCTGGATGCCCACTTTCTTGTTTTGGCTTCAGATTTGGGCAAAGAGAAAGCAAAGCAGCTGCGCTCAGACCTGAGCTCATTTGACATGTTAAGATATGTTGAAACTCTAGTAAGTTCAAAGCTATAGACTCTGAATAAAAACTGTTCTGTCAATATTGTATAATTGTTTACTTCGTTCATATCAGTATGCAAATGACCTTACTTCATTCTTCTTCTTTTTTGGTCTCAGATTCCTCCAGAGAGATCTTACCAAATTAAACAGATGAAAGTAGAGCTATGTGGTAGAATTTAGGGTGGAGGCTTAGAGCAGTTTTGAAAATCCTGTTGTGTTCTGTCTTAAGATGCTGGGTGCTGTGGTCATTTGCCAATGGCCATTTTCCCTTTGTTCACTGGTGTTTTAGGTCATTCTCAGTGACCTGGGACCTTTGTCCTGGGCTGGGCAGAAGCCCACTCTGAGATGGCAGAGCCCAGCTGGAGTTGAGTTAGGCCTGGCGAGAGGGCATGTTTTGGTCTGTCTTTAGAATATTTCAGAACCATATGAATATGATTGGGTTTTGCTTTTTGTGGTTTTATGTTTTATTCAATTTTCTTTGCCTCTTGACAAGTTTAAATAGTTGTTACCTGCAATTCTAAAACTGTTCCTTAATGAATTTACCAAAAAAAAAAAAAAAAAGCACACAGAGACGACCTTGTATCTTACTTTGTTGTCTTTTTAAAAAATTCTATTCTGGCCGAATGCAGTGGCTCATGCCTGTAATCCCAGCACTTTGGGAAGCTGAGGCTGGTGGATCACCTGAGGTCAGGAGTTTGAGACCAGCCTGGCAAACTTTGTGAAACCCCATCTCTACTAAAAATACAAAAATTAGCTGGGTATGATGGCGGGCACCTGTAATCTCAGCTGCTCGGGAGGCTGAGGCAGGAGAATCCCTTGAACCCATGAGGCGGAGGTTGCAGTGAGCCAAGATCTCACCACTGCGCTCCAGTCTGGGCTACAAAGCAAGACTGCGTCAAAAAAATAAATAAATAATTATATTGGGAGCCAACCTCTGTCCTAGCACACATAGCTGCACCTCAGTATGAACATTGCCTTTGCATTTCTAACTGGATGTTTATGTTAAATCGTTTTTAAAATAATTTAGTATTATTTGATCTGACCAGATGAAGTAATTTTTCCATAAAGGCATGAGGCACAAGATTATTTCCAGTTTGTCTTTCAAACCTTTTCCTTTTTTTTTTATTAGCTTTTTTTTATTGTGAAGCATAATGCACTTAGGAAAATGCATTCTAATATACAGGTCAATAAAGTAACCATATAATGGGTATTTCTTTAAAAATTACTTTTTCTGGTTAAGTTCTGTACTTTAAATAACCTATCAAAACAAATTCTAGAAGTCTTAAAGCATTATATATAAAACCTTAAATTAATAGTTGTCCAGTCTCGGTGGAGAAGACTTTCCTATGTGTAACATCAAATATAGACACTATGAGGAAAGATGGGTGGATCTCTCTGTCAGTTGAACAGACCAAAACTGCCATGTCCACCTACTAGGGTGCAGTGGGAGAACAGGCAGCAAGGGAGCGGAAAAGAGCTGACCGCAGTGCTCTGACCAGCCTCTTAAGAGCGTTTCTTTTCTTTCAAGTCTGGTTGTCTTTAATAGGGTTAAGCTCCCTGAGGGTTTTGTGATTATTGTTTATATATGATATTGTCATCATAATTGGATAACTTATAGGCATTTTATAGCATAATGTAATAAAAGTTTACTTTCATAAAAGCAAATTCAACATAACACATTTTCTGTAAGATAGTTTGAGATGAGATAATTTGACTTCTGCCAACTCTTCCCAGGAAGGCAATTTTAGGATGAGCCATTCTCTCAGAGATGCTGCTCTCTCAGAGCAGTGGCTCTCCGGATATACTGAGATACAAGCTGAATAGAGATTTGTAGGAGGTTGGCTAAAAATTAAAATCTGAACACCAGCTGAACTTCCCTGTGCTATCTTGAAGCTTTTGATTTGAGATTTAATTGTATATTTTTATGCTAGTGCAGCTTTGCTAATACATGAACTATTTGTGACACAGAAATTCCTGGGGAGGCCCGGTGTGGTGGCTCATGCCTGTAATCCCAGCACTTTGGGAGGCCAAGGTGGGTGGATCATGAGGTCAGGAGTTGGAGACCAGCCTGGCCAACATGGTGAAACCCCGTCTTTACTAAAAATACAAAAAGCCAGGCGCAGTGGCAGGCACCTGTAATCCCAGCTACTTGGGAGGCTGAAGCAGGAGAATCGCTTGAACCCAGGAGGTGGAGTTTGCAGTGAACTGAGATCATGCCATTGCACTCTAACCTGGGCAAAAAAGTAATACTCCATGTCTTAAAAAAAAAAAAAAAAAAAAAAAAATCTCAGGGGGCTGAGTTCTGGCATACCTGAATCCCTCTGGTTGCCAGTGGGCTAGAGCAGAGTTTCTCAGCACTGGCACTAATAATTGATTGACATTTTGGGCTGGGCATGTCTCTGTTTTGAAGGCCTGTACTGTGCATTATATGATATTCAGCAGCCTCCCTGGCCTCTACCCAGTAGATGCCAGCAGCATATCAGTTGTGACACCCAAAATGTCTCCAGGTATTGCCAAAAGACCCCGGGGGGCAAGTATACCCAGGTTGAGAACCACAGGTCTAAATCATTTCACTTTCTTACCCAAAGATTTTAAGTACATTAAGGAATATTTTCTGCCAAAAAGAAGGTAGCTTTGAAAATTGGATTTTAACTCCAAAGTTGTCTTTACAGTAAAAAATTTAGCCAACATGTTAAGACCCTGAATGCAGGCTTTGCATCTGGCCTCTTAAAGGTTGAATGATGCAGTTTATTGGATGTGGACAATGATTGCTTGTGGCTTAACTGGGGTTTTTTGTTTTCCTTCATTTTTGTAGCTGACACATATGGGTGTAAATCCGCTAGAAGCTGAAGAACTCATCCGTGATGAAGATAGTTCTGATTTTGAATTCATAGTCTATGACTCCTGGAAAATATCAGGCAAAACAGCAGAAAACACCTTTAATAAAACTCATACATTCCACTTTCTGTAAGATTATTTTAAAAATCCAACAGACCAGCCATTTGTGAAACTTAAATTGTGTTTTCTTGTAGGGACAAAGATTATTTGGTCTTGTAGAGGTGACAGTCTTTATTTGGAGACTTTCAAAACTTTGATGTAAAAGTTCATACACTAGGCTGGGCATGGTGGCTCATGCTTATAATCCCAGCACTTTGGGAGGTGGAGGCAGGTAGATCATCTAGGCTTAGGAGTTCAAGACCAGCCTGGGCAACATGGTGAGAACCTATGCTCTACCAAAAATACAAAAAAATTAGCCTGCTGGTCCCAGCTACTTGGGGGGCTGAGATGGGAGGATCACTTGAGCCTGGGAGGCAGAAGTTGCATTGAGCCAAGATCATGCCACTGCACTCTGCCTTGGGTGACAGAGTGAGACCCTGTCTCAAAAACAAAAAGTCCATAAACTCTAGATGTGGATGGAACCTTAAAGGATCTTTCATTCTGCTTTAGCAGGAAAGGTCAGAACCTCTTTACCAGTGCTGTCTCCTGGCTCCTTTGCTTCTAGCTCATGAGACTCTCGGTTTATCATCTTTGAAATCTTTATCATATGATGGGATTTCTTATCAGTAGGAGGATCCTACCTTGTTGGATGACCACTCATCTATATTTGAAGATTCCTAGTCACTGCCACATAACTGCCCAGTTCATTTTTTAGATAAAGGTCTCATTTGAAAAAAAAGATTTCTTGGCCGGGTACGGTTGCTCACGCCTGTAATCCCAGCACTTTGGGAGGCTGAGGTGGGTGGCTCAGGACATTGAGACTATCCTGGCTAACCCAGTGAAACCCTGTTTCTACTAAAAATACAAAAAAATTAGCTGGATGTGGCAGCGTTTGCTTGTGGTCCCAGCAACTCGGGAGGTTGGGGCAGGAGAATCGCTTGAACCCGGGAAACAGAGGTTGTAGTGAGCCGAGATCACACCCCTACACTCCAGCCTGGGTGACAGAGAGAGACTCCTCTCAAAAAAAAAAAAAAAAAAAAAAAAAAAATTTCTTTCATATTCAAATGAAATTGGCTTCTGTCTCAATCCCAGCTTGGTCCTATGGAGAAACCAAAAACAGCTCTTACTGGTTCTTCTCTAACAGGACTTTCAAGCTTATTGGTTTTGTTGACCAGCAAATGCTTTCTCTAAGGTAGCCATCTGACTTGTTAAGTCCTTTCTTCTTTAGGTGGTATAGCTCCTGGGCATTTGTCATTTCTAATTCATCTTTTTTTTTTTTTTTAATTCATCCTTTGATATTGCTAGTGGCTCAGGTAGAAGACTTTGGAGATGACAGTGTAGTAGTGTGGTTTGGCATCTATTTTTAGCAAGACTTCAGGTAACTCAGGTGCCCAGAGCCATTTGTATACATTCTGTTTAGTAGAATATACACCACACTTTATCATAGGATAAAGTCTAAATCTTTGTTTTTTGCTGTTGCACTAAACTCGTAAATCCTAGGCTCTAAAGATAAAGCCTTCAACTTTGTCTCATCATTCAGCCCAATTTCCAGCCACAATGAAGTACTTTAAACTGTGTCTTTCTACTTGCTGTTCTCTTGGTCTCCAGTTCCTTTATTCTTTTCCATCCAGTAAAGTTTATCTCACAGGCCCCAACTTGAAAGCCTCCAGCAACTTCTCCAGACAGAGGTGTTACCAGTGTAGGATCAGATTTCCCACATCACTCCCATGTCTGGGTAGATATCTCTGCCCAGGTATCCTCATAGCTCTTGAGCAGTACTCTCTAAGCATCCAGGATCTCTACCATGTTATTTGATTGATTGATGAATGGATACTGCTCCTTGTGGAGCAGGAGTGTGCTCAGAGTAGCCTACCCTGTTATGTTGAAATGGACCTATGTGCATAATGTATCTGTCCATCTACATCATATACATTCGTCTCCTCAAGTGTAGGGACCATATGAGCCTGTATTCTTGGGGCTTTCATCTCCACATGATACATCTGTTCCTGTAGCCCAAGTCTGCATTAGGGCTTTTCAGGGTGCTGGTGGAGAAAGTCCAGAAGGAAAAGGAATCCCATGGCTATGACTTGCTTTGTTATCCTAAGACAGGTGTGTTCTGTAGTCCTGGGCTGGGAGCCTCTCCCTTGGCATCTGCAGATCAAAGGCTTCTAACCCCACTGGAGCTTCCCCATATACATATTCATCCTTCCCCTGATCTCAGAAGTTGGCTTTGGAAAATAGATAATAGGTTAGGTGGGAAGACATCACAGGCACATTGACTGGCTTACTGTGCAGGGCAATATGAAGGTGTCTCAGGAGGTATCTGGGGTTGAGTAAAGCTCCTAGAGTTTTGTAAAAATATAAAAGAAGTCAGAAAGGATGTCATAAACCTTAACCAAGGGTCTTGGTCTGATGTCAGCTTATGTATATATCACTGATGCCTGGTCTGAATTTGACTATACCATGCAAACTAATTTAATTAGCGAAATTAGTTTGTTAAACAACAGGCAAAAAAAGACATGAAAGCATATTTTTCATTAGGTTGGGTTCAATATATGGAGAGTTTCCTGCGCCAAAGCCACGAACTGATCGTCCAAGAAAAGTTCCTACAGTACGAGAGGAGAGGGCAATGCCCGCCCAGGTTTGTTTGTTTTAAAATGTTGCTTTTTAAAAAACACCTGAAAGTTAAAATAGCTGTTAAAATAATGTGCATGCAAGTTGGCCATTTTTTCTAAGCTTTCGGGTCTGGAGCCAGGTTTTGTCACTTAAATAATCATTTGATTTAAGCCGTTAAGCATTTTATTGGATTTGTTGCTTGTCTTTGTTTAAACTAATTTCTGTAGTTTTCATCAGTTCTCCTAAGCCAGGGTTTCTCACCCTCACCACTGTCAACATTTAGGGCTGGATAATTCTTGGTTTGGGGAGCTGTCCTGTGCATTATAGGGTGTTTAGCAGCACCCCTGGCCTCTACTTACTATATGCCAGTAGCCCACCCCCACCCCCGAGTTATGACAACCAAAAATGTCTACATATGACAACAAATGTCCCCTGGGGATGGGGGGAAAGTCATGCCCACTAGAGAACTACTGTATCTAAACTGCCCTTTTGTATTTTGCTATTTTATGTTCAACCTGAAAATAGTTGACTTTGTAATGTTACTCTTCCATTAGTAACTTGAAACTAGAAAATCTGTATTTTTTTAAACCATAAATTTTACGATGGGGATATAAACTGCTAGCAATCCCCAGCAGAAGACATTTAGGCTGAGCACAGTGGCTCGTGCCTGTAATCCAGGTGCTCTGGGAGGCTGAGGCAGGAGGATCACTTGAGACCAGAAGTTTGAGACCAGCCTGAGCAACACAGCAAGACCCCATACCTAAAATTTTTTTTTTAATTAGCCAGATGTCTTAGGCAAGATAGCATGAATTAAAAAAAAAAAAAAAAAAATAGCCAGGTGTAGTGGTGCACACTTCTAGTTGCTACTCAAGAAGCTGAGTTGGTAGGATCATTTGAGCACAGGATTCTGAGGTGACAGTGAGCTGAGATTGTGCCACTGAACTCTAGCCTGGGTGGCAAAGCAAGACCCTGTCTCAATTTAAAAGTTTGGGTGTGCAAGAGAGAAGAAAAGGCTGTTAATAGGCAATTAAGTAGGCTATCAGCTTGATAATCACTTCATTTTTTTCAGTTAAGCAGAATGGAAGAATCTCACCAAGAAGCAACAGAGAAAGAAGTAGAAAGAATCTTGGGATTATTGCAGACATATTTTCGAGAAGATCGTAAGTGTTAACACCAAATTCAAAGTGGATTTATCTGTTCAATGAGTTTACTTCTGTTTAAAAGGCAATTTCAGCCGTATGTAATGTTTGAAGCATTTTGATAACTTCTTGGCATATACATTTAATGAGGATTCTTCTTTCCTTTAGAAATTTCATGTGAGAACTTTGAAGTTAGCTTTTCATTTTTATCTTTAAAAGATGGGGATTTTTTTGTTACAAAATGAAATATGCCATTCAAGTAAGAAACGTCAAAAGTACCTATTCCACCTCATTATAAAATGCAGTGTATATATTTCAAATTATTTTGTTTATCAATCCTATACACATCTACCTAAATAGTTTTTGTTTTTCTTGTTTTCCAAGCTAATCATAATATGCACATTCTTCTGTTATGTGACTTTTCCATGTGGACATTCTTCCATATCATTACATATAGATCTCCCTTATTTTGTTCACTGATTCCCACTATATGGCTGTACTATAAATATATTTAACAGATCCTCCATTAATGGAAAATTAAATTTCTTTTTTTTTTTTTTTTTTTTTTTGAGACAGAGTCTCGCTCTGTTGCCCAGGCTGGAGTGCTGTGGCACCATCTCGGCTCACTGCAACTTCCACTTCCCAGGTTCAAGCGATTCTCCTGCCTCAGCCTCCTGAGTAGCTGGGATTACAGGCACACGCCACCACGTCTGGCTAATTCTTTTTTTTTATTTTTATTTTTTATTTTCAGTAGAGATGGGGTTTCGCCATGTTGGCCAAGCTGGTCTCAAACTCCTGACCTCAGGTGATCTGTTAGCATCAACCTCCCAAAGTGCTGGGATTTTAGGTGTGAGCACCATACCCAGCTGGATGATTAAGTTCTTTATAGCATTTTACTCTTGTGTAAATTGCTGAAGTAAAAAATCTTAGTATGTAATTTTATGTACTTATGCTTGTATTTCTGCAGGACAGCCTTTTAGAGGTGGCTTCCAGGTAAGTGGGCATACATGATTTTAGAAGAGATGCCATATTGACCTCCAGAAGGATTGGATTGATATACACTCTTTTTTTTTTTTTTTTTTTTTTTTTTTGAGATAGAGTCTCACTCTGTCGCCCAGGCTAGAGTGCAATGGCACGATCTTGGCTAACTGCAACCTCCACCTCTTGGGTTCAGGCAATTCTCCTGCCTCAGCCTCCTGAGTAGCTAGGATTACAGGCACGTGCCACCACGCCCAGCTAATTTTTGTATTTTTAGTAGAGACAGGGTTTCACCATGTTGGTCAGGCTGGTCTTGAACTCTTTGGCCTCCCAAAATGCTGAGATTACAGGCATGAGCCACTGCGCCCAGCCTGGATTGATATACATTCTTGTGGCAGGATGAGTGCTCGTCTTTTCTTTGTCTCTCTGGCAAATGCTAGAGAGTACTGATATTAATGATAAGCAAAAATTAATTTTTTTTTCTTTTTGTCTATAGCTGATACCCCAATGTCCTTCTTTGACTTTGTGGTTGATCCACATTCTTTCCCCCGTACAGTGGAAAACATCTTTCATGTTTCCTTCATTATACGGGTAAGATTAAAGATTATTTTTAAATTGCTTTTATATGCTTTTAAAAGAATACATAAGAAAAGCTGTAGAAGGGAGCTGGCAAAGGTATCTGTATACACTAGCCATTATATGTTTCAGACCCATTATAGCAAAATATTAACTGGCATATTAGGTAGAAAAAGCTACCTAAAATTTTATGTGCTTGCTTTTATGTTATAGACATTATTTAGAGAAAGAATTGAAAGATTTGAATGCAACTGTAGATTAGATAACAGTATGGTATAAATGTTAAATTTCCTGATTTTGATAACTGTCATATTGTATAAGAGAATATCCTTGTTCTCAAGAAATACACACTGAAAGATTAGGGAAAAGGAGCAGGCCACCCATCATTCTCACTTCATTCATAAATAATAATATGTAGAGTGATAAAGTAAATGTGGTAACTAACACTTTTATGACTGATGAATATGGGTAAAGGCCATATGGCACATGTTTATAGTAGTCTTATAACCCTTTAAGCCTGAAATTATTTCAAAATTGGTTTAAAAAAAAATTCTACTCAGAAATGTACCATGGAAATTTGCTTTAGACTGTCTTTAATCTTACTTCAGGTTGCATTCCCACATATAAGATGAATTTGATTTTAACCTCAGAGAAAAGCTTGTGTCAACCAAAGTATTTTCTCAGAAATGATAACAAAGGCATATTTTGTCAGTGGTCCCAGTGACAGAATTATGCAGAATAAAATGTGGAGTATTCCAAAATATATATAAATCAGTTAAAGAGACAAGATGAATTTCACTTAAGAGATTCTCAGGATGAAGGCTGCGTCTGGGTAAAAGAGCTGATTAGAAACCCAAAAGATATACCCTGTGTAAACAAAAGATATTAGAGAAGTCTTATCTATATCGTCACCTTATTATGTGTATGGTATAATTTTATTTTCTAAGATACTGAGTTTTCTGAGTAATTTTTTTCAACTAGTGGTTATAGATTTAAGTCTAAATTTTTGTCTCCTAAAATCATGTTTTCGTTTTAGGATGGTTTTGCAAGAATAAGACTTGACCAAGACCGACTGCCAATAATAGGTAAATGATACTATCTTCAGAAAAATTAATTTTAGAGAAAATATATTTGTTAGTAGAATTTAAGTAATGTATTTTACTAAATGTAAATGCATTTTCAATGTAGATTAACTTTTACAATGTTGTATCTTGCTCAACTACCTGAAGATACTGAAAACGTGGTCAGCGTCTAAAATTTTGATGGATTCATCTGTATCACTGATTCGACATCTGCTGTAAATATTAACAAAGAAATGATACAATTTCCCTCAGATTTTAATTTAGAAAGTTGGTGATTGCAGTCATTTTTGTAGTATCCCTCTTTCTAATCATGTTTTGTCAAATGCCAGCACCTTGTTTTCTCCTTGAGGTTCTAGGAATCTTTTATTCTTACGTGAATAATTTCACTCTCCATTCTTAATGTCCTCCTAAGGTCTCCTGTGGAGAGTGAATATTTCCATCACACTTGACTTTCAATGTGCTCAGTGTCCTGTTGGACTCACTAAGGCTTAGCTCTGTGTGTCATACACACATAGATATGTAGATTTTCAAATGTCTGGAATATGTTACTCCAGTACCTGTTTCTTTTAAATGGAAACAGATGGGATTACTGGCTTCTCTAATAATACCGCAGCAGCTCCATAATGCATGACATCCTAAAAAGTATGTACTATTTTAAGAATCTTTTCAATACAGGTACCACTGCTATTATTCATCAGTTTCTGTTTAGATTACCTGTTCCAATTTGATAACCTTTGAAAAATTTGTCTTTCAAACAGAGCCTGTTAATATTAACGAAGAAAATGAGGGATTTGAACAAAACACACAAGTTAGGAATCAAGGAATTATAGCTTTGAGTTATCGTGACTGGGAGGTAAAGCTCTGTTGCCCCTGCATAGTTCTGACTCTGACTTCTCTTGAAATAAACCCAGTGCCTAAATGTTTTTTGTTGTCTGCCAGGAGATTGTGAAGACCTTTGAGATTTCAGAGCCTGTGATTACTCCAAGTCAGAGGCAGCAGAGGCTAAGTGCTTGATGCTCGCTGAAGGTAACATTTTTAATGGAATGGCTACACAGTTTTATTAATGTTTATTTGGCAATCCAAACTATCCTTTTTCCCTGTTCCAGTGAAATGTGGATTTTTGCCTCCCTCTAGTGCCCTATTCTTAGAACTGTATGTAACAGGTGAGAAAGGCATAATGATTCTACTTTCCCTTTTCTTGATAATGACAATGGTGCTGTTAAGATCTGTAGCTGAGGCTGGGCGTGGTGGCTCATGCCTGTAATCCTGAGGCTGAGGCAGACGGATCACGAGGTCAGGAGATCGAGACCATCCTGACCAACATGGTGAAACCCCGTCTCTACTAAAAATGCAAAAATTAGCTGGGCGTGGTGGCGTGCGCCAATAATCCCAGCCACTCAGGAGGCTGAGGCAGGACAATTGCTTGAATCCAGGAGGCAGAGGTTGCAGTGAGCCGAGATTATGCCACCGTGACAGAGCAAGACTCCATCTCAAAAAAAAAGAGAAAGATTTGCAGCTGAAAGAGGCAGTACAGGATTGTTCTTGGTTTGGTGGATTTTTTTTTTTTTTTAGTAAAAAATAGAAAAAAGGTCTCACTATATTGCCCAGGCTGGTCTCAAACTCCTGGGCTCAAGGGATGCTCCCACCTCAGCTTCCCAAAGTGCTGAGATTATTTATGAGCCACTGCACCCAGCTTCTTTTTTTTTTCCCCCCCAACAAACTGGTAAATTAGCCAAAAGAAATACTGAATTCTCCCATCCATGTTGTTGTTCACTGTCCCATTAGATTTGCTTATTTTATAAGTACAAAGCAGAAAAGGAGGATTAGGATAGAATTACCTTAGAATAATATTGGTAAATTGGCATTTCTGAAATTTGTATTAGGCTATGAAAGAATTCTTCATTTATATGAAGGGTAACATTTCTAGAAAGAAATCTTAATAATGATCTGGCATTTTGTAGTGCAGACAGTTGTGGATGGGAATCAGAAGACCTAGATTCTCTTGGCTCTGACCCTTACTTTATTTATTTTTGCCCCTTACTTTAAAATCATGGGCAAGTCACTTAATCTCACTCAACTTCATTTTTTAAAAATCTATAAATACATGTATAAAATGGGAAGATTTTCAAGTTAGATCATTGCTAAGGATTTTTTCAAGCTCAAATTTTCTGATTTTGAGCATCAAAATAAACTTTTTAGTACTTAATGTAGACACTTAATATGTACTTCAATTAACTGAAATACTTTTGTTCCAAGATAATTTACTTCTGTAAAAATATTTTAAATGAAAGAAAATAAATGTAAGATACATATATATATATAATGTGGATTTCCCTGGGCCCTGCTCACTGAGGAAGGCTAGTTTGTTGGATTTCATTTATGTATGTTATACGAACTTTTGGTTTGTTACCTATAAACTGTTAACCAGATATTTCCCCCCCTTTTTTAGGACTCAGATGGATAATGAAGTCCAGAAAGGAAAGTGGCACATGTTGTATATATTGTATGATTCAACATTTTTAAAGGCAGATTGTTTTTAGTAAAATGTAGCTTTTGGTAGTTAATACATTTGTGATGATTGTCTTTGATTAAAGGAAACTCACTGCCATATTCACAAATAATTGTAGTTGCTCTTTATTTTCTAGTCATGGGAGAGGGTCTCCTTTGTCTAATCCTGTCCCAATGAAAGTTTTACTTAGGTCATTAATACCCTTTGGGCCATTATGATTCCTTTTACTCCTTTTTGCCACGAAGTTAACTGGTCAAGTCAACAAATAGGTTATACCATATGAAACTGTTGTTTTTATAGGTAAAACATGGTCAAATATGAGCAATTTCCTATGATTCAGCCTCTGATTTACATATAAGAAACTATTAAATCCTCTGGCAAGCCAGGCCAGACTACTCTCCCCAGTAAAACCAGCCCTGGTTCCTTCTTGCCAGCATGCTACTCCATGCTTCTCATCTCTGCTGGGCTTTCAAGTCTAGTCAGTTTCTTCTCCCAGTGCCTACTTTTCTGTTTTATTTTTTCTCGCTGCTTCTCTCTGGCATCAGGGGTAGAGGTGTCTTTTCTGTGGAAGACTCTGGGCTCTAGTGCCTCGTGCCTCCTAGGGGGTCTGATCTCCGTCATCCCCTTGACCTGTATCTGGAGTTTTCCCTTCAACCAAGCTCATCTCTCATTAAAAAATGTTACCATGACCCTCTTCAAGCTGCTATGGTATCACCTCTTTTTTTTTTTTTTGAGATGGAGTTTCACTCTGATTGCCCAGGCTGGAGTGCAATGGCCTGGTCTCGGCTCACTGCAACCTCTACCTCCTGAGTGCAAGCGATTCTCCTGTCTCATCCTCTTAAGTAGCTGGTATTATAGGTGCCCGCCACCACATGCAGCTCATTTTATTTTTTTGTATTTTTAGTAGGGATGGGGTTTCACCATGTTGGTCAGGCTTGTCTCTTAAGTCCTGACCTCAAGCAATCCACCTGCTTTGGCTTCCCAAAGTTCTGGGATTATGGGCATGAGCCACCGCACCTGGGTCCCTATCACCTCTTTAATGAGAGTCACTTGCTGTCTCCCCGTGTGTCAGTCCATGGCAATGTGGCACCTCCTTTCCTGCTAATTTACTGAGTCTGTTTTACGCCAGATTTCCTAATTCCTTTCCAAATTGTTAATGCCAGTGGATACATGGCTGTGTACTTCACAGCTGGAGAGTGATACTTTGAAACTGTGTATCCTTGATGTCTGTTGCTTTCCCGGTTCCCCTTTCATAGTCACTGTTATCATTTATGTTTCATTCATTCATTCATTTATTTGAGATGGAGTCTACCTCTGCCACCAGGCTGCAGTGAAGTGGCCTGATCTCAGCTCATTGCAACCTCTGCCTCCCGGGTTCAAGCGATTCTCCTGCCTCAGCTTCCCAAGTAGCTGGGACTACAGGCACACACCACCATGCCCAGCTAATTTTTGTATTTTTAGTAGTTGGCCAGGATGGTCTCCATCCCTTGACCTCATGATCCTCCCACCTCAGCCTCCCAAAGTGCTGGGATTACAGGTGTGAGCCACTGCGTCTGGCCCTTTGCTACATTTATACACTGAACAGTCTGAAAACTTGGATGCCTAAGCTTCTTGAAAATGTTACAGATATAATCAATTGCTTATTGGACAGCACATGGGCTATTTTAGACATGTACAAAACAGCCCTTCACGTCTTCTCCCTATAAGACCTATATTGGCACTTTTATGACTTCATTTTCTCAGAAAGCTAGGATTGCCCCTACCCTCCAAGCCCTTACCTTAACCAGTCATTAATCCCCATCTGGTCTCTTCCCTCAGCTTGCCCAGGTTATTACCACAGACTCCCATCTGTTATCGCCTACTTCCTGTCCACCACTCGTCAGTTACTCAGGGATTTCCTGTTGCCTTCAAGATTGAAAAATATCTGAGCGCTTTAATGATATTCAAAGCCTCACAAGCTCAGGTCCTTTGCCGACATTTCCAGGCGTGCTTCCTCAGACTCTAAACCCTAGCATTTCTTTTTTTGTTGAAATGTTGCAGAATTTCAGAGACTGGAGAAATAGTTCAGGTCATAGGAGTTTAAGTGTACACCGGCCTAGCTCGGATTTGCATCCAAAAATGGTTGAGCACCTAACAAAGACAGGACTTTTTATACATGAAGTACACAGTGGTGATAAAACAAGTTTCCAGGTACAGAACAAAGGCAATTTATCCAGCAATGATAGGCACCTAACTTAGGCTTACATATGACCGTTGATATGCAACCCAGATGTTCACTATCTGTAGAGCTCAAGGATTCTAGCACAGGCCTTATCTTTTGCCCTCTGCTATCTAACATCTTTGATGATTCTTGTCAAAGGTTAACATTTTAAACTGGCACGAAAACAACTGGAACATTAATGCAGAAAAATATAGCTGAGAAATGTGTTATGGCCGGGCGCGGTTGCTCATGCCTGCAATCCCTGCACTTTGTGCGAGGTGGGCAGATCATGAGGTCAGGAGATCGAGACCATCCTGGCCAACATGGTGAAACCCCATCTCTACCAAAAATACAAAAATTAGCTGAGCGTTGTGGCAGGAGCCTGTAATCCCAGCTACTTGGGAAGCTGTGGCAGGAGAATCACTTGAACCAGGGAGTTGGAGATTGCAGTGAGCCGAGATTGTGCCACTGCACTCCAGCCTGTGTGACAGAGCGCGACTGTATCAAAAAAAAAAAAAAAAAGAAAAAAGAAATGTGTTACTTAGGATATAGCACAGTCACATTTAACCATCCTGGGGACCTCTTTTTAATCTGATTAGTTAGCAAATAGGTTCTATGTTTAACAACATGGGTCGTATATGTTTTCTTTGGCTTCTCTTAGCAAAATAAGAGAAAGATTTTATAAGATAGAACTGGAAAAAACAAAAGGCTATTTGGTAAGTATTAATAAAGCTAATTTCTTAAAAAGATTCATAATACTGTTTCATATTCATTTCTAAGAGGTTCCTATTTGTTTCCATAGCAACATTTAGAGTTTACTATACACTAGGCATTACACTACGAACTTAAATGGATTACTTTACTTAGTCTTCCAAACAATCTTATGAGATAGGTCTTTATTATCCCCTTTATTATCTTAGCAAAGGGACCAAGGCTATGAGGTTTCATGACTTGTCAAAGGCCCCAGGAGTAGTTTCGGAGTCAAGATACGTGCCTACATGACTCCAGAGCTCATCATTTCCGTCCTTGGGCTATACTCATTCCCAGATAGCTGAACATTATCTTGCCTGTACCCAAAATAGCAGGAAAATGATACGTACTGTTCCTCTGCACTCAGACTCAACCATTCTGAGTCTGTCACCAAAGACTTAGATCCTGTTTGTTGATCCTTTGCTAGTTCGCTGTCGGACTTCCTCCTCATGGCGCTCTGGGTCACCGCCTCGCGCTGTTCTTCGACACCTTTTGCTTCCAACATTGCCCTATCAATTGCCAGCTTTACGTGCAATATCTTTGCTCCTCACTCTCCAACGCTCAGTGTCTGCCCTCCCGTGTTCCAATCACTCATTCTCTGTTCTGCAAAGCACTGTTTTCCAGATGTTAAAGTTTCTGACCTACCTACTGTTGATCCTTCAGGATGCCTTGGGCTGACTTCTAAGGCAACCAGAAGCAGTCACAAGCTTTTCTGTGTGTCATCATCCTAGATTGAGACTACTGTGAGGTAGTATGTGAAGACATAGAATGGTTGACAGGGAATGGGCTTTGCTTAGTGTAAGCTAGGCTAAATGGTCATAGAGAAGCTGAAAGGGGCTGTGTTTCAACAGACACAGGCATCCCACCTCAGTGCAGAGAAAGCAACGTAAAAGGCAATGAAGGCATCTGATTTGATTTTCTTTGGCATGTATATTACTGTGTATTCTCCACGGAAATGGAATCAGTGTAAACACATGAAGAAGATCTTGTATGCATACTCACAGTAGTTGGAGGAGGCTCAGTGAGTAGGCAATTGGCTCAGTCATGTGGCCTGTAATCACTTAGCTAGGGTGTCACTCAGTTAAACACTAATGCTGTGGAAGTTTCAGCTTTAACACACTTTAATATATTTTTAGTCACATATTTTTTATGTTCATAACTGGTCATTAAAGATAGGAAGCAGGCCAGGTGCAGTGGCTCACGCCTGTAATCCCAGCACTTTAGGAGGCTGAGGCGGGCAGATCACAAGGTCAGGAGTTCGAGACCAGCCTGGCCAATATGGTGAAACCCCATCTCTACTAAAAAATACAAAAATTAGCCAGGCGTGGTAGTGCACACCTGTAGTCCCAGCTACTCGGGAAGCTGAGGCAGGAGAATCACTTGAACTTAGGACGCGGAGGTTGAAGTGAGCTGAGATTATGCCACTGCACTCCATCCTGGGTGACAGAGCGAGACTCTGTCTCAAAAAAAAAAAAAAAAAAAGGAAGGAAAAAAGGTAGCAATGTTGAAATGAAATACAAATGAATGAAAATGATTCTGTATATTCATTTCAAGATACCCTCTACCATGTATGCAAACTGCATTCATCCAAAGTCATCATATAGCCCATTGAGACATGGCTAGTTCTTTAAACAAATGTGAAAAGGAGAAAACACAGTAATTAATTACAACCTGGATTCTTACTTAGGAACTAAATCTGTCCCTCAGCAAATGTACCATTTGCAAAGAAGTGATTGAGACTCTAGCCCAGCCGGATGTGGTGGTTTATGCCTATAATCCCATCACTTTGGGAGGTCAAGTGGGAGGGTCACTTGAGCCCAGGGGTTCAAGACCATTCTGGGCAACATAGTGAGACTTCCATCTCTACAAAAAAAAGAAATTTAGGCTGGGTGCACTGGCTCATGCCTATAACTTTAGGAGATTGAGGTGGGCAGATCACCTGAGGTCAGGAGTTCAAGACCAGCCTGACCAACATGGAGAAATCTGGTCTCTACTAAATACAAAATTAGCCGGGTATGGTGGCATATGCCTGTAATCTCAGCTACTCAGGAGGCTGAGGCAGGAGAATTGCTTGAACCTGGGAGGCAGAGGTTGCGGTGAGCCGAGATTGCTCTGTTGTACTCCAGCCTGGGCAACAGGAGTGAAACTCTGTCTCAAGAAAA